GAGCGTGATGATGGCCTGAATTATGGCTGAATTCGGTGAATTAGGGTTCAATCTCAAAATCTCGCTAAAGTAAAAAACTATCAGTGTGGCACTGTGTGGCGAAAAACACTGTGTGGCGAAAATTAAATTGAAACCTATATACTTGATTATTTTAGCTATTGCCCCTTTATCAATGATTGCAGCAACAACGCTGTATTCTCAAAGAAAGTTGAAATTTTCAGCATTTTAGTGCGCTGATCTTAGTATTTGACTTCAATTTATGTTTACATTTATATTTGAATTTGCATTTCTATGATGTCAATGAAAAATGGCAGCAACTTTTATAAGGCAATCTTAATTCTATGCCACTATAGTGTTTCTTAGACTTTCGTTGTATTCGTATTCCTTTATTTCGTTATAATCAACATTTCAAGAAGATTTTTCATTGAGCTCAAAGAAATGGAAGCGTGAACGAAAAAGTCTCTTTTATATGAAATACACTTTACACGCTTACTAATTAATGACCGAAAACATTGTTCGAGGATATGTGGGTTGAAGCGTGTCACAAATATGTGCGAAAGAACGAGAGAGAGAGAGAGTGGATAAGTGAGTTTGAAGTGTAGTATCGTCGATGCTTAAAACAGTGCTTCAATTGCGCATATAGGTTGCTCAAGTGTAATTCTTTTCTCTTTCTATCTTATAAATTGTTGAATCTTATGCACCGTATTATTACGGCTCATGAGTACCATGCACAGCGTGGAATGAAAATGTTACCAAAGTGATATTAAAATATTTTAAAATGCACACAATAAAACAACACATCGTACTTCAGCATTACTATCTCTCACACATATATTTAAACGCTCGTTTATTCAAGGCAACACGAAAAAGAAACGAGACAGACGAAATATGGGAAATTATCCCTAAGCACCTGCTGTGGCACACTCAGAACCGAGATTTATCCGCGCTTGTTTATTTCGTTAAATCGCGAACTTAATGTTCCCCGACACGAGAACCCGACGACGACTATGACCATGACAAAAACCATGAATCCCGTGCGTCGCATCTGTGCAATATCAAAATTTTAATTGCTTTTTTCTTTCATGTTCACTTCGAATTGGCTACAATTGAATCGGCTAGAGCTTTAATATATATTTGAAATCGGGCACGTACTAGTGTGCATACACTCTTTATAGGCACCGGACCTAGTTTCACGTATAAAGAACTCAAAGTGCTAAATTTATGCGTAATAACTTGTTAAACACAAAAAACATTAAAGCAACCGGTGTAAAATTGAAATGTTGATCCACTAGCGACCCGACAATGGTTCCAACGAAGGGCGCACATTTATACTTTAATACGTGCCCGCATCTGAAAAGTGTCTTTATAACAGCTCTGGAATTAGTCTTGTTTTTCAGACAGCCCCCAAACTTTATCCAATGCATTGTGAGTTTTCGAGGTACTTCGTATGCAATGCGGCCGTTCATCGTAATTTCTTCATATTTTCATTTATTTGCGTTTTTGCATTCGAATATTATTCCAACGCACGCAAACCCGTCTCGCACTCACGTTTCTGCACATTCATAAAAATAATTCGAAAATTATTTGAATGACTTGGGCAAAGAAAATTTATAACATGAATGAATGTTTTGCGGGCATTTTCACACTTGTGAGTTTCATACTCACTTTTTATTTAATTAAAACCGAATGTTGCAACGAAAAAGCAGAGTATAATCATTATAAAAGGATAATTCATCTTAAATTGTTAGATCCAGTTATAGACTGACGGAAATCGACGTGTTATTTGTGCTGCGAAAATAATTCGTTGAAAACAAAAAGTGCCAAGTTTTTGGTTGTCTTGATGTTAATCGATTGACATCTACGAAATGGGGTATTTTCATTGTTCAGCTTTCAGTCACGTTCGCTTCAACATCTCCATCATTCTTTTGCCACTTCAATTGCGTTTCGTCTTCTACGGATTATGGTGGTAACTCAATAAACGATTTGGTAAAACAACAATTAACACACACACACGCACACACCGACACCATTTTGCTTTGGACAATTGCATATTCCGCATGATTTATTGGAGTTGATAGAGAGAATAAGATCTGTAGACTTACCACAGCCAACACAATAGAAAGGATAAATGGCCTCGAAAATTGGCGGATCAATTTATAAATCTGTCTGTAAATAAACAAATTAACCACAAACCATTAGAGTCGACCGAAACGTACTTGAATTGGTAATCGAATTGAATCCCTTCAGTTGGTAACAACAAATGCGTGAACATCCTCCGGCTTATTATATTCGGTGGTCCATTTTGTATTAGACTGTAATTGGATGTTGGTGCACAACAAGAATATTAATAGTGCTTGTGGTCTCTCTCCAAGAGCACCAATTTAAAAGGAAACGTGGCAATAAATCACAGACAAAAATAGCATAGTCCTTTTGAGAGAGAGAGAGAGAGAGAGAGAGAGAGAGAGAGAAGAGAAACACAAAAATCCCATTCAAAAATGGAAGGACAATAGATCGTTGCAGCCCCAAAAAATCGAATGAAAATCCCCAATTACAGTGCCCAATTTTAAATAAATCAAATAACAAACACGATTTTATTTTCATTTAGCTGAAACAAAAACTTTGCCAATTTCCTTGTGAAAAAACAAACAAACAATTGACTGAGATAAAAAATGGTATAAAGCGATGACACGGTTATGTATTCATGTGAAATTCGTGATGAAAATAGATCACATTGGTGAAACGTGTGTATTCATCGTTTGGCCACTTTTCTCATCTTCGGTTTCGTTGTGTAAAGTTTGCATACTGCTGTTGTGTGTGTAGGTCACGCAAAAATCAACAAATCTATGAATAATAGCCAGAGGGTGCATGGCGTACTTAATATGAAAACCGCATTATACACGAAATCACAGAAGAGAATCGCTTCGAAATTGGCAACTTGTTACATTGTTTTATCTCGTGACAAAGAAAACCTTCTATTCAGTTGAGCCACTCAGGTAGCTTGTATTTGAGTGTATATGTGCCTGTGGCTTAAAATTCAGTCAAATTTTATTTTTCATGTTTGGGAAATGATGCTATTATGCTTGAAATAATCTAAAAAAAGGTGGTGCAACAACAAAGCCGCGTGAATAAGTTTCACCTTGCTCCAACCATTTTTTTATAGTTGTACGGATACTGTTAGTTTTTCGGATGGAAAAACGTTGATTATTTTATGTGTATATGCACGTTATAATAAGCATTCATTCCCGACATTCCTGTGTTTTCTTCTGCTCGGGTAGCCAACAAAAGTCACAGATGATAAGAGCAGCATGGAACAATAGCAAAGGCTGAAAACAAAGAACGGAGAAAAAACAACTATTGCATTCTCAACTACAAGTTACATCGTAGTATGGCGAATGTATGCAATAGGAGCAACAGGGATGGCAGAACGGGTGATATAGAGAAAATGCATGGGAAAATGAAAGAATCGCTTGCGAAGAGAGAACACGTTGACGTACAATTAAATTGCCAAACAAGTGTTTTACCGTCGTTACCATTGCTTACTTCCCATCCACATGGTACATACAGCTTGTGTGTGTGTGTCAGAGGAAGAGTATAAAATACGGTCGTATCGGATATGTATGAAACTCGGTTGCCCGAAAGCATCGAAGCGCTTACGAGGCCATACGTATGACGGAAAGTAAAATAATGGATCCGAAGAAGCAACATGTATGGTAGTAACACTACGATGTACATTGTATCTATCTATCTGTCTCTGAAGCACGATGAAGAGAGAGAGATAATAGCGAGAAATCATCACCTTTATTTTTCAGTATAAACACAGATATAATTTCATTATTATTATGTATGATGTTTGAATGTGAATTAGAAGATCTCCTGGAGACATGCAATGTAGGTAAGCTTCGTCGAATACAATACTGAAATGCCACTCGAGAGAGCTCATTGTACTCGACGCGATACATAAGCACATAATGCATACACCGTGATAACGCTCGCGCTCACCATAGCCACGGTCACACGCAGATCCATACATTTTTTAGGCCGGATACTGGGGCCTGACTAAGCTTACATCATTTTTCACAAATGTGTTTTATTTAAAGCACACCGTATGCACTATACCAGTCACCGAATTCAATTTTCTCATTTTGATCGAGCGCGCACGCGAGAGAAAGAGACAGACAAAAGAGAAGAAAAAAACATTACAAATGTGAAATGTTCGAATAACGACAACGAACACCGTAAGTCTTGCGTCGTCGGCTGCAACTGTGGAAAATGTGCGCTTCACTATATAAATGATGAAAATCACTAACTGGCTGCTACATGTAGCTTTTGTTGGCAGACACATGGAGAGGCTAGCTCATGCGCTGCGATAACATCATACAACAATCGCATTCAAATATACTGTTGCTGTCTCTGTCACGAGCGAATGGGATCCGGAGTAAAGCAGCACATGCCAATGCAAAATAGAACGAAATACACAGAACAAGCATAGCCAGCAAGCAGCAGAAGTGCCACCATCAGTATAGAACAGGCAACAACAACAACCACACAACAACGAATCGCATCGATGCGAGTCGACAGCGAGATTGAGCACACGAGAGAAACCAGTGAAAAGACCACCGTTTCAATCGTTGTTTTCCCATCGACGCACGAGTTGGGCTGCCAGCCTCCGGAGAAGAATATTTTCAATTTTCTCGCCAAAAATCAGTTTTTACGCGCTTATATGTTGCTCGAATAAAAATTCAGTTTTCAATTTCCTTTGGTGTTTTTCGCTTGTGTTTTTGTGACGTTATCGTTGTTCCGTGTGTGATTTCGTTCGGTTTTTTTTATTAAATTCTTGAAATCAAAACCATTTTTTCGTTTTTTATTTTAATTTTTGTTCATTTATCGATTCGTTTTCGTCTCCAGAAATTACAATTCAATTTTTCATCAATTGGATTTAGTGGATTTACAAATTTTATATGGACATTTTTTTGGTTTTTTCTTCGGGTGAAAAGAATTTCTCCAAATCGCATTTTTCGTGAGTGTTCTATTTAATGGATGTGTTTCACTTGAAAATCGAAAAAAAACTCAAAAATACTCTCGCTTCAATGTTTTCAATAAAAATTAATTATTATTGTTAAAGTTAGATCCATTCAATATCGGTGCTGACCGAGAAATCAACCAGTTGTTTTTTCTCTCTCGTGTCCATAGAAATTATGTGCAACATCAATTAAAAATAAACAAAAATTGCATTTCTCCCATATTTCAATCGATGTGAACGATAAAAAGAGAGGATTTATTGAAAAAACACTTCTTAAATTTCATTTTGATTATTGATTTTTTATTCTTTTAAAATATTTATTTTTACAGATAAAAAGACTTTTGCTGTGATAAAATATTACAATTGATTGGTGTGCATAATCATTTGGTACGAAATCTCTCGAAAAAAAAAATGAGTGTGCTTTCATTATCAAGTTGAAAGCCCCACATGAAAATTTATAAAAAAGTGGTAAAATTTGTGTTTTTCATTTGAAAAGAGAAAAAAAAAACTGTTTTTTTTGTTCATCCTTCACATTGGAATCGGACGGTTTATTTCTCATGTTGTGAGTACAAAAATAAAACATTCATCCCGAGCTGCAAAACAAATATAAGCCATCCGAATAGGAATTCAAATTGGTGAGGAATAGTAAGCAACAATTTTTTTTAATATTAAAAAAAGCATGTCGTGAGGAGAACAAATGAGGGATGAACAAAAATTATATACATAGAAAATAACAGAAAAAATCTCTCTTGGAGCTTGCACAGTTTATATGAAATGAACGAGAAACTATTTATTGTTGGAATGAAATGTGGTGAACATAAGCGCGTTTGGACTCTGACGTTGGAAACTAAATCACTTTTTGTTCAGCAGTGAAACTGTATGCTAAAATACTGGGAAAAATGATTTTCATGCTCTGAAATTGGTATACAACACAAGCAAACGGCATTTACAGAAAGAAGTGTGCTCTTTAGTTGACATGAACGAAATCCAATGTAAAAGAACGAGAGGAAAAACACACAAATTCTCTTGCACAAGCCGTATGATTTTGGCTTTTCGAAGGTTTCTCTCCAATTTTCATTTTCTCGTCACCGACGACATTTCGGCTACTTACATCGACATTTATATTTCGAATCATATAAATGCCGTTTTCATGTTCATCGAGCTTGTTGTTGTTTTTTATTGATGCCATTCGACGGCATTGTTACAGTATATGTGTTTATGTTGAATTATTATTGTTATTTATTTGTTAGGAAATTTTTTCTTTCGCTTTTTTTTCCTTTCACTTTTTTTGTGTGGCGAAACAAGTATATGAATCATTTAGGGTTTGTTGTGTTTGGTGTATGCGTGATTATGTGTAAATGTGCTTTGTTTGAATAAGGAAAATTGATATTTGCGTACGAGAATGAGGCAAATTGCTTATTTTGCAATTTGCGCCAATGTTGGTGCCTGTGTTACTCCCCCATCAATGTATGTGTGACTAGGGGGAGTGAAAAAATATGCGAAATATCACGTTGAGGACCTAATTAAAATTTTCGGTACCTACCACTCTTTGCCAGCGAAAATGCCATGTAATTATTTAGTGACGCGATTTGCATGAGCATGGCGGAAATAGTAGCAGCAGAAAATGTTGTGGCAATTTTTTTTTTTGCTTTCTTGGAAGCAGAAAATGATAAAATACATCGTGGCAGAGCAAGGCTGTTCGAAGTGCTATTTTCGACATATAAATAACGCTCGCAAATGAAGAAGCAGGTAACGCACGGAATGTCGGTGAATGAGGTAAAGAGAATGCACGTGTGTAGCCGTCGTCGATCGACGTGCAACAGGAATAAAACCAGCCGGAACCAACGAAAGGAAAGGATGAGTGAAAACGCGCGAGAACAGCCAAGCACGTTCGTGTGATGTGCCTGATGATATTGCACAGTGTGTTGTGCTGCAGTTCGGATTACGAATGATATTGGCAACAACAATTCGAGACAAAACCTCAGGACTCGTGTACTCGATGTTAATCGAATAGAGAAATCGTGTGATGGCAAACCCAACCAAACGATTACACACATCCATATATATTTTGAAAATAAAAAAAGAAATATGGAAAAGCAGAAAAATGTATCTGACCTAATATTATATTGGTACACAGTTGGCGTGAGCGTTTATTTTTCATCTGCCACATACATATCGCTCTTTGCTCGTTCTCTCGCTATCGCGCGCGAACGATAGATAGCAATGTGGCCATGTGTGTATGTGTGCTTTTGCCATGCAAAAATCCATGCATGTATGCATAAATTCTTCGTCATAAAATAAAATAATATCCCGAGATGATGTGAAATGGTATACATATCTCGTTGTTGTCGTCGTCGTCGTCGTCACCGTAGTCGCGCAAATTGTTCAGCTCAAGAGTGTATCGAGAGCTCATTTTTCCCGAGCCGTTCATTGCTGGCTGCCTCCTTTATTTTCTTCATTTCGTTTTTTTTTCATATTCGTGCTCGTTCGCCGTCGCCAGGCATTGCTATAATATTTCGCGTATATCCGCATTCACTTTTTTTCAATCTTCTATTCTATCTGTATCTCCGGCTCTTTTAGTTTATTCACAGTCTTCAAACATTAACTTTAACAGATTTATTGAATTATATGCGCTATATCACTCAATATGATTTGCATATATGCGAACCATGCACACACACAATACGTGCTTCGCACAAAACATCAAGATCGTGTAATTTTCCCGTACTGTCTCTGAGATTTATTAAAATATCAATTACATACCCATCTGAATTGAAATGGCAAACATGAAAACAAATAACATTACAGACAGACACACACACACACACTCGTTAGCATGGCGAAATTGCGAGACAGAACATGGGAAGAAAAAAGAACAAGAGCCGACAGAGTTCGAATACAGGCACAGCACCCGCAATAAAATGCCAACGAACAAAAACAACTTTTTGAAACTGTTGAAATTCGGTTGGCGCAATCACAATGAAAAATGAAAGTAACGACGATAACAAAAGCGTACCCATCGAAAGAAAATTTTATATAGATTTTGCCAGTTGTAATAAATGAAATATAAACACTTGAAAAGCCTCAAAACGCAGTAGAGAAGAAAAAAAAACCATAAGAAGTGAAACCGTCATCAGATTGGCTTATTCAACATTCAAACAAATGGCATACGTTTCAATGGCCAATTTTAATGGATTGTGTTGAACATCATATGAAGTAATTCAAAACTTCTGAATCATTCATCTATTTTTAAACCAAATTTCAATATTTATTTTATACTCCATTTTACAACTTGACGCACTTGTTTTTGTTTTAAATCTTGCAATTTTACATTTTGTAAAATCTTTGTGCATTGTGCGGTACGGAAAACTTGAACATCAAGCAGTTCTCGTTCACTTGCAAACTCATTCGTTTTCATTCATCGCTCTCTGCATTTGGTGTTGCGCATCTATTGTGTTGATACGGGTGTTGATTCAAAACTTCCTTTCGACTTGTTGAGAGACTAATATGTGAAGGCATAGAGAAATAAGCGACAACGTTAAAGCGAATACTAAATGAATATAGTGCGGATTCAATTTATATGCGATCATTCAAAAATCCTGCTCAAAACGACAACACAACAGCAACCGCACTCCCCCAAATACATCAGATGTTCCATTTTCGTGTGGCTTACTTTAAACAGGTTTTTGTATTTGTATCTGTATATACTCCGTTTACTAGATGGATTAATGTTTAACAAAGATAAATGATGATACGAGAGTCTCAAACATTAGGAATTATACTGACATTGGTGACCACAATTTTTTCCCTCTCCCACTCCGTATGTATTATTCACCAAAACGCGATTGTGGTATTTGAAACATCCGCCATCGTCCAGAATTATATATGCGCATGCATATGTATGTGTATTTGTCATCTTGCATAGCCAGAAGCGCTTCTGTTTCATTTATGTGCGCACACAAATGAAAACAAGTAGATAAGAAATGAAGTCGAAATTGAAAAGAGAACGAAAAGCGGAAAAAACAGTGCCATTTTGGTCCTTAGTTCGTCTTGTCATGTATATGAGATAACGAACAAAAAAGAAATACGTATGAATCCTTCCGATATACAAACTTTTACATTTAACAGCATGCCAGTTGTTTCTTGAACAATTTTACAGAACAATGATGAAAAAAAGTTTGTCCGAATCTTTACATTTTTTTTGTGTGTCATCTCTGACGTCTTGTTCATAATGCCGAAATATATTTGCCTACTCAGTGTTATACATATTGTGTGATTCGCGCCATTCTGGTTTCATCGACCCGCACACTACTGACTCTGATACGTCGTGCCGAGAGGTCGAAAATGGAAAAGTGAATACGAACAAAAGCATCGACTTTTTTTTTGCTGTTGCTGGAGCACATTTAGAAAAAAAAACTTTCTGGCACTTTTCAAACGCCCCAAACAACAAGTGCCGAAAGCTCTCCCATGCCGATTTCAATTGTCATCACATTTTCATTGTGAAAGATCTATATCAACGCGCATATACTTAATGCCACAAGCACCCATTCATTTCACATTCTCTCTATCTCTCGCTCTTACTCTTATTCGTATTACAATATACGCATTGTTTACTTTTGTGTGTACTGACACTTTGAATGAATAACAGACATTATCTAGAATGCCAACAACGATCATCATTATTATTTCGTTAAAATTGAATCAGCGACCCCTTGGTGATGGCAACGATTTTTACCTCTTCGTCTAATGTATCGAAAGCGTGATTGGCCATAATGTTTATGGAGTGTTTGTGTGTGTGCGTGTGTAATGTGTGTTTGTTAATATTGGTGTGTTTTTTTGTTGTCAGAATTGAATAAATGATGAGCGCTAAGCATATATAGACCGAATTATGGCAGCGTAGAGAATTAAAAAAAGATCTGTGCACATCAAACGTACTAAGTAAGCTGTAAACACACACCGAAAATATTGCCCATAAACGTGCTAATCGAATTCCACTCATTCGCACCGCACAACCTGAATGACTGAAAATTGTAGTGTCTCATACATACGCACACCTTGCCTGGATTGCGTATGAATGAGCCATCCGGGCAAACCGCTTTCGCTTTTCTCTCTTTCAATTTCTCATTCTCCCTCTACCCCTTCTCTCTCTTTCACTCATACACATAATTCCCTTTACGACATACGCTTAATTGAGCACAATTGAACAGTATGCGATTTATACATGTTGGTTGCTGCATACACACATTTCAATGCGAATAAATTATTAATGAAGAGCATCCGACAAGCACAAAACTGTGTGTTGTTGTTTATCATTTCTCGTTTGTGTGCGTATTTTGTTTGGTTGTTTAGCATTTTCGTATCAAATATGCCATTGAAGAATCGCCCTGTCTCTGTCTCATCCTGTCAATGGTCTTTTGTGTTCTGTTGTTAAACAAATTGAAAAAAAAAAGAAAGAAAATCGCACTCTGAATAACGAAACGTGGCTTTCTCTTGCACACATCTATACCAGCACCAACAATGATCGTATAAAACTCGGGCAACATATTGCATATAATGGCTTTGATGGGCTCAATTGTACGTGTATTTATTCTATTATTCATGCAAATTCACGAAGAGAAAAGATAAAAAAATACCACAAATTCGAAGATAACTCTATCTACTTCATTTTTTTTTGTTCGTTGCAAAGCGTGTACCATCACCATACGCACTTATTCAGTCATTCACTTGTCTCTGCATTCGATTGGAAAGTTTTTCAGTTTTACCAACAAACAACACCAACAACTTACTTATCCAAAACATAAATGTGACACGCACACGACCGACCATAGTACACAATATGGGCCGCCGTATGAGTTGAATCAAATGCAGAACACAAAAGCTATTGCCAAAATACATTCACCAAATTTGCTTCACTATAATAAAAGATATTGGTGTATGCGGCAAGCTGGAATCTTATTGTGTGCTGTTAAGCTGTTGGGGTTGTAAACAACCGTGTACACACACACACACTTACACATATATACACTCACTTGATGCTTAGGTCGACATATAACCTTGTAGCTTTGTACACGCCATCAATTCCGTTTTTAACCATTTACATTTTTTATATTATTTATGCGCTTAAATAATAAGACGATTCACCGTTCTTGATATTACCAAAAAATACAACACCCCGCATAAGAGACGGTTCAAACGGCAAAATAAAACGAAACACACACATCCACACCAAACGCTCAATAAGAAAAGGAACAAAATGAGGTGAAGTCAAGGGAAAACAAAGCTTTATACACCACACGAACAGAGAACAATTGGATTTACGTATCTAACACTGACTTTTTCCTGAAACAAGAAAATTCCAAAAGTTTTTCAGTTATTTCTGTCTCATTTGTGTTCGCTCCCTTGCAATATAATATTCATGTTATTCGGATCGGTTTTCATTTTCCCATCCCGTTTTGTTCGCACTGAAAAATAATAATATAGAGGATTTATTTAAAATCGATACATCTTCGTTTACTTTTGATTGGTTGTTGCGTATTTTCTTCGGTGCGCTCCACAAAGATACATTCCGATCAAAAGAACGTCAATTCACTTCAAATGTAAAACTAATTCGTTCAAAGAGTTCGGTTTTTGTTGATGTGGTTACGGTTTTACTTTTTTTTTCGGAAAAAACTTTTGCATTCACTTGTATTAATTGATGGAAACATTTCATGACGAAAAAAGAGGGGAATTTTCTTCCTCGAAATGGAAATAACACACAAATCCCACACTGAAAATCCCAAAATTATACGACCACGAAAGCTTTTACAACGTCATGGCTTGCTGAGCGAGTAATGTATGTCCAAGGCTGAAAATGCGAATATTTTTTAGTGCTTTTCGATTTCAATGCGACTTCATTGCGACTAGTAATAACGACAACGAAGGACTTACGTGCATTTTTAATGAGACATGGATAAATATACATTTCCTCTTGAAATGGTATTATTTCATGCACAATTCTATAGATGATAGTGTGCTGATGTAAGCCAAACACAATTTATCTCGAAAAATATAGATTCAATGAGTTGATACTGTGAAAAGAATTGACGAAGAAACTTGATCGATTTAAAATGAACGACTGTGCTTAAAATCTTTTTTATACATCGAGAACTCATTTGAGTGTGGAACACATTAAAATGGAAAATAGATAGAAGTTTTTGCACAGTTTTCTTAGCAAATTGAACGCAAAACAAAAAAAAAACAAGTGAAAACGACAAAATGACTGAAAAATCAGCAAATTTGCAAGTTTTATCAAGTGCCCTGATACGCAACTATGTGAACGTCTTTTCATTTGCATGTTTTATGTATGCATATAGTTTGGTGACGGTGTGACTCACATTGACTCTATCAATACATCCATATCAATTTGTGTGTTGAGGTGATGAAGTTTTCAACATTTCTGGGGATGATGGTAATTTATTCAAAATAGAAAATTGAACGATGTATTTGATTGAGTGAAAAGTTAAATCCAAACAAAGTTACATTGATGTTCAAGATATTTTTAACAGTTTGCTTCTGATACATTTCAAATCCTTGTAATGTCTGTTATTCTTTTTTATGATTGAATTAGATGAAATTTGTATGTGTTTTTGGCAGTCACATCATATCATTTCCATACCAGAGCTAGCGGAGAAGTTGAATTGGAACGATATCCAATTTCAGCAATTTCAGGAATAATGTGTCGGGAACATTTTCGTTTGCCTCAACTTTCTCTGCGCCGATGGTGTGTGTGTATTATGTGCAAGCAATACAAAATCAAATCGTTATTTGTTGTCGAAACACAAAATGTGAAAGTAATGCTTTCGGAAAATGGTAAAACTTAAATACTTTGACCCCCATATCCATATCCCAGTTAAACAAATAAAGTAGATAGCAAACCAAAGTAAACCTTATATCGCACGAACAACATCGTTATCAGAGCAAAGAGAGAGTAGAAAAAGGCGGCAACGCAAACTATAAAATTTCGGTTATTTTAATTGAAATTAAAGTGAGCGACCTTTTAAAACTTGTAAATGTGATGCTATTGAAATTGACTCATTTTCCTTATGGCATGTGTACACAAGTGTCCGTGACTTGCGTTGAGCCAAAAATCATTCAATTTTGATGACGATGTTGATGATAAGAGATAATTAATGCTCGCGCTTTCTTGACTATTTTATAATTATATATTAGATTTAAATTCGGCTTATAATGTGGGCACAACAATAAACTCCAAAATTAATGGGGCTGAATTTAACGGAGTGCCGTAAATTCTCTAATGTTTCAAAGGGGAAGTGAGGTGAAAAAAAAACATAGAAAGCAAATATGGTCGAATACTAATAATGATGATGGGGATCATTTAATCGGTTTGAGTTGTTTTTGTGGGTGATAGGCACTTTATAAAAGGGCAAAATACATAATGTCAATATGTGCGTGTGAGTATGTTTGTTTGATTTGATGGAAGCGATAAAAAACATGAATCAAAATGACTGTGATTTAGCTGAAAATACAAAGTTTGTCTGCCTTTTTAACACCCAGTCGACCCATTCAGTTAATTTTACACCTAGATCATCGATTAAGAAAAACATCAACATACCCCATGACCGTGTATAAAATGCGAGCCATAGAAATTGAGAGAGATTTTATTTCTGACATTGACTTTACTTTATATCTTCCTATTAAAACCAATAAATTGTATTTTCTCTTGCAGTAAATTAACCGAACACAAAAATAACACAGCCCGATACGGTTCGGATGTAAGGAAGTGGAAAAATATAGAAAAGAGCAACAGCAGCAACAGCAGCAGCAGTAGTGAACAGAAAGAAGAAATAAAAACAAAACGATAAATTGAAAGAAAGAAAAGATAGGAAGTGCCCGCGGGAAGGAGTGCTCATAGGCGTGCGCGCGCGCTTGTGTCCGTGTGTGTTATTAAAAACAATAATGAAATCAGGAGTGACAGTGCAAAAATGATTTATCCATTGAACGACGATGGAAGCAAGTAGATCGATCAATCATGAGACCGAGACCGAAGCGACTTGTAGTTCAGCCCATAACTGTAATAACGCGTCGATAATACAAAATCCAGGCATAAGATATGACTTAAGAAAGCCACAATCATCGTCATCATCGGCGGCACCAAATGTGCTGTTGCATTCACCGTCATCACGATATGATAATGGATATAGTGGCGGTGGCGGTGTCGGAAGAAGTAAAAGTGGTGACCGAAGTACTTTCCACGCATTGCATTATGAAAATCCAAACGATATAATCATAACAAATAGAAAAATGCACACAGCGAATTTAAATCGAACGAGAAGGGCAAGCCGAACGACAAGAGGTAGAGGTGGTATGCACGATATAAATGATTCGTATAGCTCAAAATCATCAGCATCATCGTATAGTTCAACATGTTCGGCGAGCTCATGTGACGGCAGCGAAACGAGCTCGAATTCATCGGGTGAACCAAATTTACCATATCCCGGCTTTCCAGAGCTCTCTTTGAACTATCTAACGCAGGACATGCGGCCTAGAAACTGGTGTTTGCTACTCATTACAAATCCATGGTTCGAACGTATTTCAATTTTAGTGATTTTATTCAATTGTGTTACGCTGGGGATGTATCAACCGTGTGTTGATGACGAATGCGTTACTAATCGTTGCAAAATACTCCAGGTAAATATGTCCAGGCATCTTTCTATTTGCACATGTAATTAGGCTATCCACCTCTTTCCATCGCCGAACCAACATAAAACAAATGGTTCACATCGTTTGGCCACAATGTAACCGACAACAAACATAGGCTAAAATGCAGAAAAACTAAAATAAAAAATCGATTTCTTTAAGCCCTATATATATTGACGTTTAGAATAAATGTGTAAATAATATGAAAACATCAACAAAATATAAATCTTTTCGGTTTTCGTTTCAATTTCTCTCTTTGCAGACATTCGATGATATTATATTTGCGTTTTTCTCCCTGGAAATGAGCATAAAAATGGTTGCGATGGGTGTCTATGGCAAAAATACCTATCTGGCCGATTCATGGAATCGTTTGGATTTTTTCATCGTACTTTCGGGCGGACTTGAATACTGTTTGAATATGGAAAATTTAAATCTGACAGCGATCCGAACTATACGTGTCTTACGTCCATTACGAGCCATAAATCGAATACCAAGTAAATAATATAAGTTTGTTTTTCATTTCTTTTACTGTCCCATTCCACATCTGTTTGTAAGTCGAAGTACACATGAAACCATCGTCATCATCAATGCCAGCAAAACGATTAACCGATTATTTTTTGTGTGTGTCTTATCATTTCGTATGCTTTTGGTTTTTGTCTCCATTTTCATCATTATAATGTTTAGTTATTACCATTAGGATATCAATTTTATCAGAGTGTCGGATGTGCGCTATCAGGACGAATGCTTTGAGACCCTGTATAAAGAGTGAATGATAGCAACACACCAACCGAGATCACCACAACTGATTGAGTGAAGTGAAAGTAAATTACACACAATGCACAATTCCGAGAGCGCTCAAATAATGCGCTGTATTTATCTCATTCGGTGTTTGTGTGTGGGCCAAGCTTGCTTTTGTGACCGTGTCATTTTCGTTTCTCTTGTATACATGAATCGAACAACCTGACGGGTAATTTTGTTTGAAACTCTTCGATTTTTGATTTACAATCCGTTGAACCGAAAATATTGACGACAGCCGATGGTGAAAAACAATGGCAAGCAAAAACTTCGATACGAAAATCCAGCAGAGCAGTGCCGGGGAGTGTTGTGCACACAGGCACAATGAATGATGTGAAAAAACGGGGCTAAGGTCACACAAGAGAGGAAAAGAGAAGACATTACAAGAGAACGAACTCTTCGGCCGTCATTAATCCACTCAACCGAATATTGATTTGGGTTAAATTAATAGGATACTCGATATCTATCTAATATACTCACGATAGCCACACATTTTATGTCGACGGTTTGATTTTGGCTAGCAGAGGCTGTACCATATCCACCACCATGCATAGCACTTTGTATACATACGTATATGCCACATTGTCTGTGATGTCGATGGTACACAATTTACTCAACCAAAATGAACGATTATCAGGCTTTTTGATGCGAATCAACGTACCATGTCGAGTCACATTTTCATCGAATCGCTTTTAGATTTTTCTTTTGACGCTTTGTACGAGCACCAAATTTGTCTTCCTCTCCGGCTATTTTATTCCTTTTGTTTTTGCGTTTGGTAATGTTTTGTGCGCTATTCATTCATTCTTCTTCTTTTCGATGTGTTCGATTCCAATTCCGATCCCGTTTGATTTGAATTACGTGAAAATTCGTCGAATCGAATTAGATAGCAAAACATATTTGCACACAGAATTTTCGGCAAAATCCACTGTCACAACGTGACAATGTACCGAGCTCGGTTGAGCCAACCAAATATTTTCGTTTAAGCTACCAACATTTTTCCTTACACTGTGAATTGAATTTTGACGGTTTTTTTTTTGGAATAAAACCTTTTGTCGTTATTCTTTTCTTCAAAGGCGTTTCATTCTAAAATGTTTGTATTCCATACAAAGCTCGTGTGCATGGTTCAAAGTAAAAGGAATAGCGTAGGCGATTGGCTGAGCTCTAAACGTAGTACAATGTCTGATAACTACAACATGTTGCTTGGCATATTTGTATTGTATTGTATGTGTAAAAGTACATACCGAAAAAGCGTGTCAACGCAAAAAAAAACAGATTGGAAAATCTGTTTATTTCGTGAGTGTGTGTATTCAGTTCGCTCATAACTAGAGCAAATAGCATTATCTCCTTTTATCCTTATCTTGTGGCATTTTATGTCTTTGCATTCATGCCCCAATGCGACCCAATCCATTTGATTTTTTCAAATCGTGCTCGGGATGTATTTGTGGTGTATTTTGATTTTCTCTTTTCGATTTATTGAAGCGTCTAATTCGGGTAGTATCTCTCTCGCTCTCTTTCTCTATATGTGTATGTGCGTGTGCTTGCCATCACAAGTGAAATTGGTCGCGAGCTATAACCGTTGCACACCATTTCGCACTCGATCACATCATCCCGCATTAAAGTGTCATTATTTCAATTCAATCTGACTACAAGTACATTATATGCGCATTCATCTATATGATATACAGTGTTTCGATTTTTTCGCAGCGGTTTCCCAATCATTTCGCAAATCCACACAAACAGCATCAACAGTGAAAGCGACAGAGAAAAAGAGTCTAAATCCAAATTCGTATTCGAAAAATATTGTTGACGCCAATAGAATATGTTTGTTTATTATTGATATGTTTTCTTTGCCATTGTACTTTTCGGTTGGTACACATGTTGAACGAAACACGCGTGCGATTCATGTTATTTCCTTCAAATCCTTGATATGTGTACGAGTACACAAATTTCCAGCAATCTTTCATCTTTAAGTAGCGCCATCAATTTTCTAACGAGATGGAGCGAACATAAGATAATATCACGCGTAAAATATTTACTCATTGGCCTTTAAACGAAATGCCTCAAGTATTTTATGCATGCAGCTCGTCGGATAAAATGCCATGAATGAATGAATACACGGAAAAAAATACACTTCCTTCAGCAGAAACTCGATCTTTTTTTGGTGCCGTACATGATTTCAAAATCCGGTGTAAACGTATGCGTGTGTGGTTGTGGCTGAATATCTCTCTTCATTCGAAATCGTATGAGCAATCCACAAAGTAAACGTCGAACGGCGAAAAAGGATGTAGATTGAAATGAATGTGTCAGTTATCTGTTTGGATAATGTAATTTCGGAGGAAAATATGTCGAAAGAAATCATAAAAGTGAACGGTTCGCATGAAAGATTTTTCGTTTAGTTTGAGAAGTAAAAAGAGCAGGATTTGGTTTCATATCATATAACATTTGGTCCCGTAGCTCGTTTGCATTGTATGAACAACACCTCTTATAATATGTTGATGGCCACTTCAAATAAAAACAACAACAAACCATCGCAAAAAGTCACATATGGGCTCTCGGTTATCCATTCACCGAAAGTAGTAAAGGTGAACAAAAAATTATATATATACGTTTCCGTTGCAGAAGTAACCAATCAGTCTTATGTACATTTGAGTTGGGGAAGAAAATTTCCGCACACTTTTTGCTTGTTGTTTTTTTTTATTTGTGCGGTAGGAACCATCACATTGGATAAAACATATTTCAATATCGCTTTCCCTTATCTCATCCAATCAACCAGTGAAAAGGGAAAACAAAAACTCACTTAACGAAAGAGCACACATTTCAAACAAGTTCCGTTTGCTCGAGAATATCCTTTTTTTTCGAATTCACATCGGAGAGTATTAAACACATATATAATCAAAGGTACTAAAGCCTCTGCAACTCAAATGGTCGAAACATAAAAATAAGCATGGCAAACGCACATGAGAGATATATCGGTCGGTTTGTAACTCACATTTGAAATGGGGAGAGAGAAAAAAGGCCCAAGAATCTGGGGAGAGGGAGAAAGAGCAAAAAAACATTAGCAAAAGTCTGCATCGACAAGTCGATATATTCAATGTTTCATATTTGAGAGAAACCATCAAGTTGCGCACATGCAATAATACAGCCCGATCGCTTATCTGCTTTCGGTCTCTCTCTGCCCTTTTATGGAACTGCTTGAGACTTTTCCTCTCGTTTGAAGTTTTATACATGCAATTGATTCAGGTATTTTGATATGCACTAACGCTTAAGTTCTTACCATCTAGCTTACCATATAGACTTGAAGTGAATTTCCAATCAATACATTGTTCAAACAAACTTTAACTCGACGGGATATTCTTTTGCATTTGCTCATATAACTCACAAAACAAGAAATATTCAATTGATTTCCATTCTTTCATATCTCTCGTTCTCTCAGTGTGTAAGTGTGTGCGCGCGTTTGTATTTCATATCTCAATCCAAGTGATTTGGATATACAGGGTGGGGCATATAATAGGCTCACTCTTAGGGGGTGGGAA